AATATCCCTGTATTACTCACAGATCTGGTCTCCAGAAACGTCATTCCTTATGCTTTTCCTTTCGATTCTTCTGAAGCTACAGTATGCAGATGTAAGTCATTCACACCTTGCTTCACCGTCTCTAAAACACACTCGTGCTGAAAACCCCCCGGTGCATTTGAAGCTTAATTGAACGAGATACTGGCGACTCATTGCGTTAACGACGTCCTGCTGGGAGTTTAACAAACACAAGACCGTGAACGAACGCCTCTCCTCCCTCAGGTATCCTGCTGCTGATCACCCTGGTTGAAATGAACGTGAATTATGATAAAGAGAGCGCTTTTAAAGCGTTTAAGTGAATTAGCAGCAATTTGTCATATTGTCTCCCTTCCGTCTCTAGAGCGAATCTGCATCCCAATGGCAGCCGTGATTGAGTTAGTTGGAGGCAGAAAGTCTTGACGTAGATGTGAATAATGCTGAGCGATGATGCCTTCACCGAGAGACACGCGCGTCTGTCTGCGCAGAACTCTCTAGAAACACTTTGAGTGGGTTTAATTGAGTCACGGATTAATGAATAAAAGGAATCGCTCATGACACACGGATCAAACTCAGAACGCCCGCGTCAATCACCGAGTCGCTCCTGTATTTCATACACACACAACATGATGGAAGACATATCGGCGCTCTGTTATTTTAGTTCCAATGCAATTCCTGATACTTTGTCTACTTCAGCTGCCATTGAGATGAATGGAACCTGCTGCGCATTGAATGTAGTGTTGTACACCTAATGCAGTGGATTTGTATCACAATAATAAATAACTATGTATCTATCTTAAAGGGTTAGTTCACCCAAAAATGAAAAGTCTGTCATTAATTACTCACCCTCATGTCGTTTCAAACCCGTAAGACCTTCGTTCATCTTCGGAACACAAATTAAGATATTTTTGATGCAATCTGAGAGCTGTCTGACCCTGCATAGACAGCAATGCAACTGGAATGTCCCCAAGTCCAATTTCAATGTTTCTACAAAAATTATTTATTTTGTATAAATTTTGTAGATAGATACAGAAGAATGAAAAGCATACAGAGGAGCCACACAAGGATGACTATGAAAACCAAATTTAAATTTTCTGGGTGAACGATCTCTTTAATTTATGTTCACCACAGTGCCATGCAGCATGTTTGTTCAGGTTTGTGAACATCAGTGCTGCTGCTGTTGTCCGTTATATGATTTATAACAGTTGTGTCTAAGAAATAAAAAAGATTTAAAAACATGTGATGTGATTTATAAGGCTATTTGGGAGGTCGAGTTATTAACCGCAAACCAACCTACTGCCGCCCTGCTCCGCTCACAGAGGTCATGACCTCTACGCCTCACTTCTGTCACACAACAAATCCAGATATATGCCTTCATTTCTCTGTGTGTGAGTCCAGTGGCCGCCACACAACACTTGAGGTTCAGAGCTCTGCTAGGGCACTTTAAACGAGGACAAAACAGCACATATAGACTTTTATAATTTACAGTCTGTCTCATCTGGTGAGAAAGTGGGCCAGAAATATAGATGGCATCAGCATCTTAACAGGGGCGTGGCTAAATGTTTGGCCAATAAAATGTCCCTTGAGGAACAGTGCCCCGCCCACTTAATTATCAATACCAGCCGCCACCTGTCAATCACTTGACATATCAACACCCTCCTAGAGGGGATGCTTTTTGAAAGAAATTAAAACTTTTATTTAAAAAAAGTGCATTAAATTGATCAAAAGTGACAGTAAAGACATTTATAATGTGACAAAAGATTTCTATTTCAAATAAATGCTGTTCTTTTGACATTTCTATTCATCAAAAATCCTAAAAAAAAATAAAATGTAGCACGGCTTCCACGAATATATTCAGCAGCACAACTGTTTTCATCATTGATAATAATCAGAAATGTTTCTTGAGCAGTAAATCAGCATATTAGAATGATTTCTGAAGATCATGTGACACTGAAGACTGGAGTAATGATGCTGAAAATCCAGCTTTGATCACAGAAATAAATTACATTTTACAATATATTCACACGGAAAACTGTTATTTTAAATTGTAATAATATGTCACTGTTTTTACTGTATTTTTGATCAAATAAATGCAGACTTGGTGAGCAGAAGAGACTTATTTCAAAAACATTGTGTAGATTGTGATACCGTTATATATAATATAGAATTACTCATACCATGATATGAGATGTTGGTGTCGAACATCAACAAATAAACGCACTCTACAGATCAAACTGATACAGCCGAGTATGAAAACTACTAACAAGACACTGTCATTATCTCATTATTAGCATGAATAGAACATCTGATTACAAGAATTATCCCATTTAATCTCAGACGCCATGGAGGGAGGAGATGTGTGGCTGTAATAAGACCCTCGCTCGTGAATTAATCAAACTCATCACCTCTGCTGTTGTCTTTCGGTTTTATACGGTCCCCTTCAAAATGAATATCGAGAAATATTTCTATATATTTCTTCATAATAGAGCGCAGCAGCAGCAGCAGCAGCAGCAGGGCTCTGGAAGTAAAAGTCCCATTTGTTTCTTCCACAGAGAAAGTGATTCAGCAGCAATAACATATAAACCTCTCGAGACAAGAGATAACATGTGGTCCAAAACTGAAGATTGAGAACTACACACTACACTACCCATAATCCTCATGCAGGATCCACCAATCAGAGAAGCTGTCACTCTGGGAATCTTGACAGCAGAGTAACAGTGATCGTTCAATCTCATAAAACATTGCAAACAACAAAAAAACATAATCGAATCAGTCTCTACATCATCAGTTTACACCCTTGTGAAATACACACTCTGGCATAATTTAAAAAAATAATTTTTATTATGGAAATAATATACTTTACTTTAAAATAATAGACTTATTTGCAAACATAATTGCAAGGTTTTTAGACACTTAATTACGTTAACTTCAATTAAATGAAAATGCATTAGTTACAATAAGCTGAAGTTTAGAGTGTTTCTTGACTCAGTTAAGTAGGACTTAAGTACATCTATATATATGTAAAATAAAATACACTTTAATGTCATTTCTATTGAAACTTGTATGTTATGTATTTTAAACATTTGTAATTAAACATTTGTAATGATAAAGTTGAATTTTAGTACATTTAATAAACTTTACACTTAACATCGAATAACACATTATAGTTAAAATGATAATCAAGTACTTTACGTGTGCTTTAGTACGTTAGTCAACACATCAAAATAAGTGTGCTTCTCTAAAGCACAACAAAAGATTATCAAAACAAAATGATTTAAAATGTGTTAAAATAAAACTTTTAATCTGACGTTATTATAAAGTGCACTTTTTAAAAGTGTACTTAAGTGTGTTAAATCATGAAAATGTCTCTTTTTAACTCACATACCGTTTATTTAATTACTGTTATATTATCTGCAAATACAGCTGTTTTTTAAATATACTTTAAGATTTGAAGTACTGTACACTACAAGTGCACATTCAAGTGCTTACTCAATTAAGCACACTTATTTTCACAAGGGTCTGCATTTTAATATATTGTAATAAACATCAAATATATTTCATACTTTAATAGTTTGTTATTGCATGGCTATTTCTGCCTTGATTTTTCATTCTCTCCTAAAATACATAAAGTACAGAGTCTTGTACCTTGGTCTTTTTTGCAAATTTGTTATCAAATCAATGTTTTCAATGCTGTGAATCCTTTCTGGTTTGGTTCAAAGCATTGAATGTGTTTCTAAAAAGTCTGTAGAGGAAAAAAAAGAACAAGACAAATAATTCAAGAATGAATCCCAAGGCCACGTGTCAGATTCAGGATGTATTCACTTCGCTCACAGTTCTCTGGGCAAAGCGACACATCAGTCAAGTTTGGCCTTTTTAACATGTGGTGATGCACTGTGAAATATGGCCTCATCCACAGCAGTGATGCTACAAGATCATTGACTCAAACCGTTTGATTAGCATGCATCACACACACAAAGGCACACACATGAACAACTGGACACACACATCATCTCAATGTCCTGCTCTCTATGCTGGATCTGAGGGGACAGACATAAATTTGCATATTTATAGTCCTTTCAGTGCTCTGCTCTCCTGAGTGGCTGCTGTGTGGCTCCGGTGATGAATATTCATGTGAATGCGGAGGTTAATTTGGGCAGAATGTCTGCTGCTCTTTCCTGTGAAATAACACAGATCTTCAGGTAACAACAACCTCCCCACTGAATACACAGACGGACACACACGCACAATGTGGGATACCTGTGCCAGTTTTACTTTCACCTCAACCTACAACAACAATATGAAAAATGAGCCATGTGGGTTCCTCTGTAGATGTTCAATGGGCCGCTTAAACTCCTGTTTGTATGCGTGAAGTGTGTCATTTCTGCGCGATTAGAGCCATAAAAGAGAGCAGCATAATGGCTGTTTCCAAACAGGTTTCCCAAACACAACATTCCTACCACTTTTCTGTCCCATTACTTGTCCCCCACTCGAACAAACTGAGCAACTCAACTGATCTGAGCGAAAAATAGGTGAAAATGTGGTCTAAAATGTTTTGTTATATGATCACCAGTTGCACATTTGGACATCACATTACATTTGTAGCGTAAACGCTAATTCCTAGTCCTGATGCATTTCGAGAGCAATGCATATGGCACTCCACAGCACAAAATCTGATTATTAGCCATCACTGGAGGAATGATGAACAGTAAAAGAATCTTTAGACATCTCAAAGACCCCATCCACCACAGGCCCACCTTTCAGAGTCTCCTCCCCAAAGCCCCCACCCCTCCACAAGCTCCACCCACAGATAGCCCACCTCACCGGCCACACCCTCCACAAGCTCCACCCACAGAGAGCCTACCTCACCGGCCACACCCTCCACAAGCTCCACCCACAGAGAGCCCATCTCACAGGCTCCACCCCTCCACAAGCTCCACCCATAGATATCCCATACAAAAGGCCCCACCCCTCACTGTCAGGCTTACTTGATGTTGTCAAGGCAACCAGAGTCTGGCTTCAGGATGGCGGTGTGGTGAAACATCTTGTAGAGAGCGATTCCCAGGAAGATCACATTCAGCTGGGAAGAACGGAAGCACAGGATTGGTTTAGGATTCACACGTGAGGAGACCAGGATGTAGGCTGAGTGTTTTAAATGTAGGTTATAGGGAGTATCAGAGCTGGTTACCATGATGATGAGTGTGGCGGGGCCTATAAAACTCCAGATGAAATAAGTATCCAACCGCAACCAGCACCTGAAAATGAGACAAAAACACATCACTCAAGCATCAAATTAACGTGCACACACACACACACACACACAGAGGAAGTAATACTGCAGGTCGTCTCTCAGGTTCTTGTGTCTTTTGGCTGATACATGAGAGTTCTTTCAATTATTCAGACTTTAATTTCCGTGACATTAGACTAAACTTCAACCCTCCTGCGACCACACACACACACACACATCCCAGCAAGACCCAGATTTGAGTGTATTTGTGTGTGTGAGACTCACACTCTGTCCGTCCCGTAACTGTGGTAATCCACTGCGGCAGAAACGGCCACGATGAGCGCAGGAATGCCGTATCCGGCCAGGTAAAAATATCTCTTGCGCGAATGCTCGCTCTCAAACACCTCCACCAACATGATGTAGAGCTGAACGCCTTCCAGAAACATCCACGTGAATGCAGACAGGAAGAAGAAATGCAGCAGAGCCGCAAAGACGGCGCAGGCGATCTGAAAGACACACACAAACGCTCGTTACCTGGACATTGATGGATGCTGTTCTGCGACCTCACAAACCTTCTCAGATAATTGAAAAATGTGAAATAAGAGGGTTTAAAGATTATAAATCATGCATGATGTTCTGCATTAGAGTCACACACACTGAACGCTCTCTCATTAAATCTTTATGACACACACACACTTGTGCTATTTCACCCTCTCATGAACTAATAGGCGATCTGAAAGACACACACAAACGCTCGTTACCTGGACATTGATGGATGCTGTTCTGCGACCTCACAAACCTTCTCAGATAATTGAAAAATGTGAAATAAGAGGGTTTAAAGATTATAAATCATGCATGATGTTCTGCATTAGAGTCACACACACCGAACGCTCTCTCATTAAATCTTTATGACACACACACACTTGTGCTATTTCACCCTCTCATGAACTAATAAATACATGCAGTCTGCCATTTAAAACATCCCTTGTCCAAATACACGATCTTCCCAGCTGCACAGTATGGAAAAAGTGGTATGTCAAATGAGTAGAATGTCTAAATATATATACTACTCAAGTTTTTTTGTATATTGAATTGCGTTTATTTTTCTTAGCCACTGTCAAGCATGCAAGCATACATTCAACAAAAATGTATATGTTTAAAACAATAAAAATAAAAAATAACTGTGATGTGATGAACAATGCAAGTACAATGAAAAGATCAGGATTATCATCACATAAATTAAGACTAAACCCATAAAAGTATTATTGTTACTTAAATAAAATAGATGTTAACTTAAAAAAAAAAAATGGAAATGGAAACTATAAAAATAAAACCAAACTCAAATTGTAATAGCTATTCATGCTACTAAAATAACACTGAAATGATAAGTGTGTGTGTGTTTGTGTGTGTGTGTGTGTGAGTGTGTACA